TAATTCTAACTGAAGGAACTCCAACAGAGCTAGAGCTGTAAAATACCATGTGACTGAGTATCTAAGGACCACTACAGGCTGCTTTCTAGTCCCAAGATATGTACTTACACATTCCCAACATCGGTGAGCTCACTAGGAGAAGCACAGCGAGCAGAAGTATGTGAAGGGACTTACAAGACTTTGGGGAGATAATAAAGGCATGATCAAAGGGAGAAGCAAGACATCTCAAGACTGCAGAATGAAACACACACATTTATAAGTCAGGAGAGAAGCAGAGTGAATTATGCCTGCTCCCTCTTAAAGCTTCAGGGCTTCCAGTAACTTGCTGAAAAGATGGGCTACGTAGGCTGAACTTTGTAAGAGAATATTCAGTACTTTGGAAGCACAACGAAACCTATGACAGATCTCTCTTTGGGCTTTTGCCAAAACATCATAAAAGCCTGAATGTCACTGCCACTTGCCTTTTCTTCTTCCCACTGGTCTCAATTCTTAAACCAGGTGAAAAAGCTTCTATACACACACACACACACACACACACACACACCCCACACACACCACAAATACAAACTATTCAGGAATGCTGTATCACAAAACACATGACTGTCCAATCACCATTATGACTGGTGAGGTACACAGAAAAGAAAAATGGGACTGGCTAATGAAAGACAATCAAGGTATGAAGGGTAAAAGGACAAGATGATATTACTCACACTGAATTCATAATCATGGGATATTTTGGCCTTTCCACAGCACCTATTTGCTAGGGATTCCAACAATCCACAAAGGACTCGAACAGAAAGACTCAGCTAGCTCTGAGAACAGTTGCTGTTACAAATGGTGTTTCTATGTGGATGTAATAACTGTTTGTGGCTACAGGCACATTCTCAAGGGGAAGACTAACCAAATGAGATGATACATACAGCGAGGCATTTTTTCTGAAAACAGCCTTCAGGGCTTTGAGATCTTAGAATACAAGGCCATTTTTCTGAAATGTAATATAAAAATCTTTATCTTGGCCTTTTATTTTCTCTCCAAAGACTGCATCCTATGATCTCCAGCCTAAGGATGGCACAGCCCAGGTATGAACAGGAATGATTTTCTCTTTCCATTCATGAATTGTTGTGGTACCTCAGAAAGCTTCTCTGTGAGTCAGTTTTCCTTTGAAGAGCCACGGACAAAGTCTCAGAATTTAAAGTTATTAGCTTAATTAAATTCTATAAGACATTTTAAAGAGCTTTAGTTGGACTGTGTTCTGCTTTTTTTCCCCCCATTATAACATTTTTTTTTTGGCAGGCATTTCTATCATTAATGAAGAAATAAAAAGGCAAAACCATGTAAGCATTTCTATTTTTTTAAGGTAAATTTTTTTTCTAAACAGATCCTAGCCACAAAATAGTCTCATTAGCAAGTTATAAAATATTGACAAGCTTTTACAAATGAAAAAATATTACAGCAGCTGAAACTGTGTTAATTATAAATTATCCCAACAAAGAAATACTTTATTTACCTTGGGATACTTTTCAATGCTGTTGAAAAGTATTCTAAGAATGTTTCCCAGGGAAGAATTTTTTGTTTAAAAAAATCTTTCACATTTGTTGGCTTTTGGTAACACACTGGGTATAAAATAAATAGGACTAAGAAATCTCATGTACTTTTTATAATTCCTCCCCACAAAAAATAAAGACAATGTAAAACTACATTCAAGATTTCTACATGATACCTTTGCTATCAGATATAGATTAGACGTTATCGAAAGATATTCACAAAGATTTATTCCCAATGTCATAACAATGACGATTCCCTTTATCCCTTCAGAATCCAGACCTCCTACTGTAATAAAAATAAAATCTAAACCTCTTTTAGAAATAGAGCTTTCGTTTATGTTCTCTAAAATAGGTACCCAAGCTTTGCTTGTTTCCAATAAATGACAACTATGACCGAATTTCCCTGCTTTTGTGCTTTGAAAGTTTTACCCTTAGGAAATATATCCAGTACACAATATTGAGAACAAAGTACTTTCTTTTATGTTGTTAGCGGTGATGGTACCTGCCAGACAAAAAAGGTTATTAAAAAAAAAAACAAACCAAAAAAAACAAAAACGGAGGCCCAAAGGCAGGATACATGGGTTCTTGGCTTGCTTTTGCTCCAAATTTTCAACTTGACTTCTATCAGAATATTTAACCTCTAGGAAATTGTTTGTTTTTCTTTGCAAGGGAAACAATGAGACCTACCTCACAAGAGTATCATAATGATAAAATGTGGAGGCAGTAATCTTGCAACTGCTTTGAAAAACTTAAAGGTGCTCTACATGTTCAAAGTATTATTATTTGAAGAATTAATAAATTCAACAAGTATTTATTGAGTCCTCATGGGCATCAGACATGATTCTCTTCACCTGTTATAACTGATGGAGTCTCTGCCCTCATGGAACTTACATTCCAATGGAAAGGGGGATGAAGGTCAGGAGAGGGGGGACTTCTGTTTTATAGAACAGTCAGGGAAATGCTTCTGTGATATTGAGCACAGACGTGCATGAACTGAGGGAGCAAGCCATGCAGGTATCAGTGGAAGAGCATTCCAGGCATAAAGAATAACAAGTATTCTGCTTTGACTCACCAAAGCAAGGAGAGCCTTAGGGAAAATTTAAAAAGGGAGAGTGATCCTTGTGCAACCTGCAGCTTTCAGAAAAGGGCTGGTTTTAAATCCTGGTGCGGAGATGGCTCCGGTGAGGATGCGGTGTGGTGTGGTGTGATGAACACATGAACTGAGTGAGACTCCGAACTCTATCATACACCTGGACAAGTTTCTTAACCTGCCCACATCCCAGTCTTACTGAAAAGGGTCCCTGAGAAGCTAGCGACATGAAGTATGTACAATGCCAAGCGCAGGGCCTTGTAGCTAATAAGGACTCATACTGCTACTACTTTCCTTCATTTTCTTGCCATTCTTAGAGGGCAGAAGAAGGCCACGTCAAGAGATGAAGAGAAGCCTAAGAACAAAGGTAGTCAGACACCAAGAAAACTTTGCCTAGAAAGAAGAAAACAGGAAAAATGTCTGCTTCTATAAAAAGCTTTAGTTAGGGATTTCTAATGAAAAGTTTAAAGGATGATTTCTTTTCCTCTTTCAGAAATTTTGGCTGAGACAAAAGACTTTGGAAAAACAAAAAGAGAGAGAAAAAGAGTTTGTTAAATACAGGCCTAACACTTTGAAAACAAATGCATGAAAAAAATCTAAAATGAGTCGGACTTCAGCATCTGTGCACCAACATTAAAGTAATAACAAAAGGGAAGTCAGAAATGTCTATTTATCCAAATAGACATTATGTTCCAGAAAAGATGTGGATTTGATTTGCATGCTTGGCATCCTTTTGCCTCTGAAACGAAGTATTTTGGATGCTTTCACAAGGCATCTCTCAGAAGTCACCTGTGTGGGTTTCATTTCTATTGTTCCGTATTTACGCTCTACTGCCTTGTTTCCACTGTTTACAAACCAATTTAGGATATTTTCATATTTATTACACTTTTCACAACAGAACAATTTCATGGCACATATCACTCTCTAACAGAACTCCCTCATGGGAAGCAAGCTCCGTGCTCTCCCAAGATGCTGATGCTGCATCTCTAAATTAAAACAGGGCAGATGAACTAACACTTCCATTCAAATTAACAGGTCTCAAGGTGAGAACAGGTAGATTTTGTTTTAAACCTAAGAATCAGGGGCACTTGGGTGGCTCCGTCAGTTAAACATCTGACTCTTGATTTCAGCTCAGGTCATGATCTCATGGTTCGTGAGTTCAAGTCCTGCACTGGGCTCCATGCAAACAGTGCAGACCACTTGGGATTCTCTCTCTCCCTCTATCTCTTCTGCCCCTCTCCTGCTCACTCACATGCTCTCCCTCTCTAAGTAAATAAATAAACATTAAAAAAAAAAAAAACCCTAAGAATTATTTAAAAAAAAAAAAAAAGGAGAATGAACAAAGGGCATAGATAATGAAGGGAGTACCACCCAGGATCAATTTTGCAAATCATCAGAAACCCACGGACTCAGCTTAGGAAAGCAATTAAGCTCGGTTAGTTTAAAGACACTGAGCTGGGAACAAGGAACAAAATTGTACTGATTGCTCTATAGTTAGAACACTAGGCTTTGGAATCATAGATACCTAGTTCTAATCTCAGTGCCACTAGTTTAGTGACCTCAGGCGAGTTACTTAACCTCTCTGAAGCTGTTTTTGAAACCATAAGAAAATACCTGGATTAAGTTCATTAAGCTTATACATGCAAATACACAGAGAGGGCTTAATATACTGTCGGAATACAGGAAGCTCGATAAACGGTAGTTATCATTATTGTAGGATGATGATATATCATCAGCATCACCACGACCACCACCACCAAATGTAAGCTCCACGAGGTCAATGATCTTTGAGTAGTTTTGGTCATTGCCAAATTATAGAAGCTAACATTATAATCAGCACTCAGCAAATATTCAATGATACATCAAAATAAAGGTATCATACTTTACAGAATAAGGATACTCTTTATCACCAAGTCCACCACTTTCTAACCCTTCCCAAAATGGCATCTCACAGCTTTGGTAAGAGACCACACCATGCATTTGAAAATAACTGTTGTTAAAAGGCCACATTCTGTTGTATTTTTCATTTTGCAAGCACAGAGCAACCATTATAATCATCTTTAAACCTAAATCAAAACATCTGCCCTGACATATTTTCACTGAGTTTGAAGACTTTATGGCTTTAACTTTTATTGTGTAAGCAAAGTAAATAAAGAACACCCCCCTGTTTGTTTCACTCAAAGTTAAAGAACTGTCTAGCTGAATGACAATAAGTAACTACTTTTATTTGCAGCCTTTCTCTCTAAAATATAAATGCTATCAATTTGGATGATCCTGAGAAAACAATAAAAAAAACATGACTGCATGACCTGGAGTATGTACAGGATCTTGGCATACTGTGAATTTCCAAAAGCAGCACACATTACCTTTGCAGAATGCTCCATGGTGACCACCACTTTGGTCTTAGCACTGGACACGAGATCCATAGCCCCCCCCATTCCTTTCACCATCTTCCCCTACAAAACAGAAGTGGGAAATAAGATGTAATTCTCTTTCAATCCTTTAGTATGTGGCAGAATAAAAATAACTGGTAAGAATAAGTCACTGGAATAAATGAGCGAGAAAACCTCATTGATCTTTACTGCTTAGTACTAGAAGCTTTACAATATTAGTATTCTGTTACTGTATTATTCTGTGATTGAAAGATAACTTCCAGACAAATATTATGATGTTAGTTTCATTACATTGTGGCTAACATTATTTTGTTGATGATATATTAGCAATAAGACAATCAGTGGATGAGAAAAATATTAAGAACCTTTTCAGAATTCTGGCACTTTATTACGATTATAGTAATAGCAGACTGAAATCCACATACCCCTGACATCCACTGTCTTTTTAAACACAAAATCGGCACCACTGAGTCTTCAATTACAAACACTTTCTAAAGCACTCTCTTGGATTTCCTGCAGATTAAAATGCCATTACATAGTAGGTTAAGACACTCATGGTGTTTCCCTAGTAATGCTTAATATGAAAAGGTGGGTCTGTCTTTCTAAACTTGGCATTTATCTCACTCTTAGAAAAATAAGCCAAACAAAACAAAAAATATATTGCTGTCAAGCAAAACAAAACAGAAGCAGAGTTCAGGGCCTCTCACCGTTCCCATTCTATTTTTGTTCACCTGTCCATCTCCTCATTCATTAAACATTTACCAGCCACCCTCTGCACGCCGTACACTCTGAATATTTCCCACTGTCTGTTCTGTCTCCTGGTTACAGAGTTTGCGAAAAAGCAGGTGTTTCCAGAGATGATGAAATAAATTCTTCCTCAAGTACATGGAAGAGAAATGTCATCTAACATCAAAACCTCCTTAAAATTTTATTTTTAATCCGAGTCCTCTTGCTGATTTGATGGTAAACTCTTAGCTCCTTCCCCAAAATTTCATAGCTACAAGGAGATTAGGCAATGTACTCATACCTGGCTTTAAAACACAGAGGGCTCAAATCCTCTGATATCAAGAACATTTTAGAGGTCAGTGCAACACTGCACGAACATGAATTCGATGTGCATTATGTAAAGGAAAGGATCAAGTGGTCAGGATGTCTTCGTGATTTGGAGCCTGCCACTAAATGAGATGGGTAGCAGCTGGCAATGGCTGGAGGGTGGCAGCGGGGAGCGGAGATGGAGAGCAGGAAAGACGCAGAAGGTACAAAGTCAGTCCGTCTTCAGACATGTAAGTTTGAAGTGAAACAATATCTATGTGGAAATGTGTAATATTATACTTCAGTGAGCCATGCCATCATCCTTAGTTAGCTGCAGTTTTAATAAATTAGGTATATTATTTTCATAATACTTCTGTAGAGAACACCAATACCTTATGGGATGAAATATGAATAACATTTCTGTAGAGAAATATATTTTCTCTACTATTATGGGATGAAGTATGAGTAATTTGGAGACAGAAGCAATGAATGTCTATCATTAACTCCAACACTAAGGAAGCTTGAGATTTTTAGAGCATCAAAAGACACTAAAGAAAGTCCATTACAAAATGTATTAATCTGTTGTGATAAGAACATCCAGCAAGTCTCAGCTTCCAGATAGTGTCCTTAGGAAGACTGTAACGGTATAAGTGTTAGTAGAATGAAGAAGGCAAAGAAAACCAGAAACCAAGCTAGCATGTTAAAAACTTCTTGAATTTAAAAAAAAAAAAAAAAAAAA